GACATGCCGGAGACAAGCAAATAGACACGCCTCCAATCAATGAGCAGAACATCGACATTCTTGTCGACGCTGTCATTGATGAAATCGACTTAATTTAAATTCAAACTAATTAATTAAATGCAACGGCATCCGCTTGACTAACTCAAATGTCTGCTTGCAGTCGTCTAATGCACTCCATAAAGCCATTTGTCAGCCTTCACCTGAATAAATATGTGTATGCATGTATATGTTACGCTATGTAGCCTGTGGATTGCTATAGACAACAACGGGCACTGCTTAGGCTAATTAAACGCACAATTTGTGTGTACGGGCCAGTCCTATAACGGTCTTAACAAGGGCCAAGTGCTCAATACAACATATGTGTCAATATCTCACTCCAGACAGCATCAACTTTAACCTCTCTCACTCTCTCTCTCTTCTCTCTTTCTCTCTCTCTCTCTCTCTCTCTCTCTAAGTCTATCACTGCTATGGCGAGCGGGCAGAGGGGCAGGCTGAGAGCACAGGCAATGGCAGTTTCAATGATTTTGTTTAGCTCAGTGAATCGGAGAATTGAGTTCAACACACATACGCCACGTGTGTCTGTGAGGTCTGCAATGGCACACACGAACGCAACGAGACATTTGAATGTCTGTCATGAATTGATACCAATTTGCAATTGTTAATGAAACGCTTTGTGCTGTGCCGATTGCACTGCACCACCAGTGCCACGCCTCCGGGGCAAAAGCCCAGCTCACACCCGATAATATGTATAACTGAAACGATATCCCAAATACATACATATGTATGCACGCACACGCACACACAACTACCCGCCTCCGAGTGCACTTCAATCTTCGACGTTCATTTCACTTTCCAAGCTTTCTTTGACATTCGAGTTACAATTTGGCCAAGTTTGCGCCTGTGTGTGCGCTGTCTGTGTTAATGTGTGTGTGCATGTATGTGTTTATTTGTGTGTGGGTGGCAGCACTGAAAGTCTCCCAGGATAGCCACACGCCTCTCGCTGTAATTGTGTGTGTGTGTGTGCGAAGTGGCCAGCTTACTCGTGTGCTTTTGCTCATTTCAATTTTGTAATTGAGAATAGCTCTTGGGAATAATGGAGATCAGATCATTTAATTAACTTTGTTTTCGAGCACATCGAATCCGACTGCCACTGCTGCTGCTGCTACTGCTCATCTCCTTCTTCTTCTTCTGCTTCTTCTGCCATAGTGTCAAGTGCCTGCAATTGTCCTTGCGGGCATCTTTTGTGCTGTCTGTGCTCAACTGATTGAAGCTGCCAGCGTCCAAACGCAATAATTTTATGACTCCTCCCCGACTGCTGCTTCAGTTTTCTATTGTTGTTGTTGTTGTTGTTGGTGGTGGTAGTGGCGGTGATGCTGCGACCACCCGATGGAGATGTTGCCTTGTCCATCTACTTGAGAGCTGCCAGTTAATTTTCTGTGGGCCAATTTCATTTGTTAATTTGCATTACGAATATTGCAAGCATTTTGTGGTCAATTTTCAGTATGATAATTTGTGCAAAATGCTCGTATTTAAAATACCCTGTAAATTCTAAATGTGTATAATTGAGTTATATGTTTGTATCAGTATATTGTATGCATATATATTGATATGTTTATTTATTTAAAAGTATAAGTCAATCTTATTCTTCATTGCACAGCTGATTTGTTAAATGTAAGAAAGAAATTAAAATTTCGAGCGTTTGCACCTTTATTTATCATTATCATTTAAGTCTCTTCATATCTCTTCTCAGTCTTCTTTTATACCCATCAAACCAAAGCACTTATACAGTGTTTGGCAGCCACACTCTTCAAAACAGCTCCTTTGTTCACTTCTGGGTTTTCTTTGCAGCTGGAATGTTAAAAATGTGGTTGCTGCTCGTTGCAGTTGCTAGTTTCAATTTGCTCTTGAAGTGCTCGTCAAGCGGCTGTAGAGATATTTCGGGTCCCTGCATCTCATTTACATTGGCTAAGTATTGTGTTTTCTCTGGCTCTTTGTTGGCTGCTGTCTCAGCTTGCTCAGTCTCTGTCAGCCGCTTTTATTTTGCACAATTCATTTTCTCATTTTCAAATTGCATTCAGCTGTTTGTGTTTAAGCGCTGTCATGGTTATTCAAAATTACTTTCTTTTTTGAATAATTTTATTTATATTTTTACGCCATAGACGCTGCAAAACTTTTACAGCCATCTACTGTTTATGCAGCCATAGAGCAGCCTCGACGACTTTTGTCATTCATTTGTTTATTCAGTTTTTTTTTTCTTTTTGCTTTCTTTTACTTCAAACGAAAGTCGAAAGTCGTACAGCAAAGCGTCCCTTATATCCTCCGGCCAGACGATTGATGCCTCTGCTTGTGCCTTGTGCGACTTGGATTTTAATTAAAAATAGTTGCACTCTGCCAGCATGTGTTTCTGCCACATATGAGGGCCCAAAGGTATGGATATATGTTTGATTTCGGGCTCAAATTATCAAGCTCTAGACTTTTTCCTCTATTGCTCATTAAAAAAGTGGATCAAATTGAAAAAATGGGAAATAAATATGAATCGCTGAGATACTGATAATGTGAAAAATCATCATATGGCACACACACAGAAAATCGCTAGGTACCACCCTTTGGCACTTGAGAGTTGAATCTCAAGAAAAAATACCTTGGGAGCCTACAAAAAAACAAACGGCCTGGTTTATCGCCTAGGTCATAAAGCCCACAATTTGTTAGATGATTAAACTAGACCTAGGAGAAGACCCCAGACAAAACTATATAAGAATCCTTAGAGAGGCAGAGGTCACTGACCTTCAGCAGAGGTCACTGACCTTCAGCAGAGGTCACTGACCTTCAGCAGAGGTCACTGACCTTCAGCAGAGGTCACTGACCTTCAGCAGAGGTCACTGACCTTCAGCAGAGGTCACTGACCTTCAGCAGAGGTCACTGACCTTCAGCAGAGGTCACTGACCTTCAGCAGAGGTCACTGACCTTCAGCAGAGGTCACTGACCTTCAGCAGAGGTCACTGACCTGCAGCAGAGGTCACTGACCTTCAGCAGAGGTCACTGACCTTCAGCAGAGGTCACTGACCTTCAGCAGAGGTCACTGACCTTCAGCAGAGGTCACTGACCTTCAGCAGAGGTCACTGACCTTCAGCAGAGGTCACTGACCTTCAGCAGAGGTCAATGACCTTCAGCAGAGGTCACTGACCTTCAGCAGAGGTCACTGACCTTCAGCAGAGGTCACTGACCTTCAGCAGAGGTCACTGACCTTCAGCAGAGGTCACTGACCTTCAGCAGAGGTCACTGACCTTCAGCAGAGGTCACTGACCTTCAGCAGAGGTCACTGACCTTCAGCAGAGGTCACTGACCTTCAGCAGAGGTCACTGACCTTCAGCAGAGGTCACTGACCTTCAGCAGAGGTCACTGACCTTCAGCAGAGGTCACTGACCTTCAGCAGAGGTCACTGACCTTCAGCAGAGGTCACTGACGTTCAGCAGAGGTCACTGACCTTCAGCAGAGGTCGCTGACCTTGAGGTGGCCTCAATGATCTTGAGGATGCCTTGATGATGCCTTCAGGATGGGAAGGGATGTTGGAGGATTAGGGTATAACAGAAGGGAGCTATGCAAAAGACATCGCTATTAAAAAACCAATAATTACCGGAGAATCTATTAACAAACCGATAGATAATCAAAAATTAGGCAGCATTTAGATCGCATGTCCAACAAGAGCCTGCTACACGTATGCAGCGCGATTTTATTGCCACTGAAGGACTCTCGCAGCAAGCGCCACAAATTCAATGGCCTTTGTTAAACAGGCTATTTATCTGCAGGCAATGGGCTGGTCCCAGGCGGAGCAAGAAGTAGGGACGGTGATGAGCTGTGTGTGGGTGTGGCGTTTACAGTTGAGTTGTGCAGTCGAATGCATTTGGCAGATCAAACGAAATGCGATTACGCATACGCAGTGTACGGCGCCTGCTGCTTTGTGGGCATTGGCAGGTGGTGGGTGGTGGGTGTTGGGTGGTGCGCAACGACTGTGACATCTGTGTGGTTAATTAGGCCCTGGAAAATCGTTGCACGCCATTTTGTTGTCAGAATTTGCGTACCTGCAGTGCTGGTTTTTGACAGTTGGCCATTTGGTTGCTCTCAAATTGCACGGCTCATTAAATTTCAATGGGGCGCTAGGCGCTATCTGTGGGCCGCATATGATGTGTGTGTGTGTGTGTGCTACGATTTACTGCGCCACATACTTCCAGGCGTCGATTTGTGTTGGCTGCTCGCGATGCGCTGCCTACTTTCAGGCGGCAGCAGTGGCTCGCCACGCCCACTCCGATGCGCGACATGCCACTGCTAGAAGGCGCCAAAAAGTTGTCGCAACTTTTTGAATGCCTTTTGCGTTAACTTCTTGGCGCGAAAAGTTTGCTGCAAAATACTTTGCGCAAATATTGTTTTCGCATGCTTTTGTTGCGCTAAGCGCTCTACGAAACTGTGTAGCCCAGTGTAGCTAGCTAGCGCCCCACCCCAGATGCTGCACAGTAATTCAACTCGCTTGCAACGTAAATTGTATCAATGTGCGCTGTCTTTTCATGAGTTTGCTGCTACTTTTTGTTGTGTCTTCTCAACGTTGCGCCATCCCTTCTCTCTCCCTCTCTCCCTCTCGCTCTCACTCTCTTCCTGCTTTTCATCTCTTTCTATCTAGTTGAGCTTTTGTTTCCGCCCTACGCTTTGCCATGTATTGGCATTTTCAACGCTTATTTGTATCGTTTTCGCTCACTTTGTTGTTGCCTCTGTGATGGCTTGAGCTGTTGTTGCGGTTGCCAATGCAACTTGCAGCATGCAGCGTGCAGCGTGCAACGTGCAACCCTTCTTGTTTGCCACAGATTTTTGCCATTTTGCCTGCTGCTCTTTTCGACAATTTCCTTAAAACGCAAACTTGAAAAACTTCCACGAAATATTTGCGGTGCTTGTTTTCTTTGCTTTCCTATTCTTGGCTTTTTTTTCTCCCCCGAAAGTTTTCAAATCAATTGTCCCATCGAGTTTGTAGCACTGACAAAAGCCTTTCAAAGCGGATGCCATATGCTATGAGCGTCATATTTAATACAACAATTCGAGTAATATAAATTGAAAGCGGAATTATTAGAAGAGCTTCACTGTACAGTGAGCACTAACTAACGGCGACGCTTAACTGGTTGAAGTATGCCCTGCGTGATGGACAATGTATATAATTTACCTAAAAGAAATTAACCATCTCAATACTCACACGTGCTCGCTTCAAGATGGAGTCCTTGAGGACATCGTAGGGCTGCTGCTTTGAGGGTATCTCCAGCACAGTGGGCACTGGCAGCAGATGCTGGTCGATGGTGGCACGTATCATATCCGCGTATATCTGATTGATCATTATAATGGCAATATCCTCGCGTGCCACAAAGCGCTTGAAGCACTCGTCAATGGCCTCAGCGCTCGTGTCTGCGAATCAGCAAGAACAACACGAAAGTTTTGAGTGACATTCAAACTATGAAAGTGGATAATTATGCAGCTGCTCGCAGACTACCTTTCTCAACAACCATAAAGTTGGGCTGCCGCTCATCGTCGATTTCGCCAATGCCGCCAAGCAGAAATCCTACGCAGGTGTCCTGCAACAAGATGAAGGAGACTAAATGTAGAAAGGGAGAAAGCGTGCAAAGCTAACGCCCACCTCGTCGCCTATGACAGCCATGAGTTTACCATCTTCAAAGGAACTGTCCGACATTTTGATTGTAAAAATTTCACCTAAAATGAGGACTGATCGAATGAGGCTTTACAAGTAATGAAAACTTATAAATCAATGAAAATTCAATGATATACTGATTCATCTTTATTTTTTAAATATATATAAAGGTTTATGCCAAAGAGAATTATCTAGAATGAAACTAGAATTGTGAGTACTCAGCAAGTAGTTAATATTTTAATAAATAAATAAACTTTAATTTGTAGTAATTCCAGTTCATACTAAGCTACAGCACAAAGGAAAGTATTAAATAAAAACTTATCTTTGAGAGGATATTAATTTTAAATAATTGAAAATCAAATTCAATTTAATTATTAACTAAAGCCCTTTAAAATGCAATCAATGCAAGTCAATTTAAGCTAGATTATAACATAAGCTTTATTTTTGAATGCGTAAATAAATAACAGCTCTCTTATATATATAAATTGTACATTCACATTGCGAACTGTGAAAAAGAACTTAAACCAAATTCATAGCAGAAGAATTTTAAGTGGATTAAATGATTTATTAAATCTTACTTTCTGATAACTTTTCAATACAAGTTTTTAATTAGAGATGCTAAGCCAATGAGTCCACATTATTTTATTACCTACAAAAACCGGCTTAAAGTAAACAAAAAAACCTCGGCAAACGAAATATATAAATTGAATAATCGTCAAAATTTTGCTGCCATCAAAAATGCCGAAAAATGAACAGCAGCAATTCGGTGTTGATTTGTGAAATAATTTTCACTGCGAAACGTGCTATTAAAAAAAGAAAAAACATAAAACATAAAAAAGAAGAAGAAGAAAAGGCGGGCGTTGCTGTACTTGACAGCTGTGGCGCATTTGATGGCAAATCGTTGGCTGCACTTAGCTGTTGCTGTTGCAGTTGTAGCTGCTTTTTATTTTCTTTTTATTTTATTTATTTTATTTTTTTTTTTTTTTTTTTGTAGCTATGTGAAGCGTAAAACAAGTTTTATAATTGTTTAAAATGTTTGCTGCCAACGTCCATTGCAATGCAATTTTATAACGAATTTTGTCAGTTGCTGCTCGAAACTTAATCGAGAGCAACAACAACAACAGCAACAAACATCAGCAACAAATTTTGTGCCAAAACATTTGCAGCTGCCCCCTCGAGAGGCCCCAGCGCTGCAATGCCTTGACTCGCTGCCACGCCCATTGTGCTTTTTACGCAATGTTGCGCTCGAAAACTTTAATGCTGCGACAGCTCCTAATTGGATTAGATAACTTCTCAAAAGGGTTTAACACACACACACACATAGACACACGCAGCCACACGCACAGACAGATAGCTGAAAGCGCACATTACGCATACGCCGCATTGTCTCTCTGGCAAAGTGAATCGCTTCAAATCCAAAGCCGGTTATGTGCACCATTATACCTTTACTTTTCCCTGCTGCTGCTGCTGTTGTTGTGGTTGTTGTCACATTTGCGTTACGTAGATCCGAAGCAACAACGACAACAACAAGCCCAACAAACCTTTGCGCTACATTTTGCTAATCGTTGGACAAACTTTCAACAATAGCACTTTGCCCTCTGCTCTGCCCTGCCAGAAAACAAAATATTTTCGAACTCCAATCGATTTTTCAAATCAGCTCTAATTGTTTACATATCATTGGTTACTTCAGTGTTGTTGTTGCTGTTGTTGTTGCTGCTGTTGTCATGTGGCATAACTAATTATGATTAATGTATCGCCGTGAGCCCCTGACATTTACAGTTAATTAATAATTGAGACACCCGGTCGGCCATACATCTGATTCATATACGCGAACAGTTATTGCAGCGCCCTGAGGTGCATTGAACCTTTGCACTCACTCGCTAACCAACTCGCGCTGCAGACGCACAAATTGCCATCAATTGGCAAATTCAATGCGCCGAGCCGAACGAGAACCAATTCAAAAGTTCCGATTCATAGCCCCAGTCCAAATCCGCGCTGGCCGCCTGACCTTTTTTCACTCTCCTCTATGGACAGCAATTCACGTTAGCTTTGCTGTTAGCTGCTAGCCAGTCAGTCGTCGGCTAACTAACCAGGCGTTGCTGCTGTACAAGCAAGCGCAAGCGCAAGCAGCAAGCGGCATTTTATGCTACCGGTTTATTTTCTTCTTTTTTTTTTTATTAACTGGCAACAGCAGATAACAACAACAACAGAAACAACAAACTGTGAATTCAGTGGCTTTTGGTTTTTTAAATATGGTCATGGTGGCATCTAATATGGTGCTGCCTAGAAAATTTTCACTTATGCCCGGCACGTTTTGCCTATTTTCCTCTTAAGCACTAAATACTTTGGGTCAAGCTCTCGAAATTGTTGAAAATTGTGCTTGCATATGCCGAGCGTGGCGAGAGGATTATCTAAAGAAGGCGGGGCATCAATACACTGTTGTTGTTTGCTATCTGGATGATTCGATGTTGCGGTGTTTTCTCTTTTTGATTAGAATAACTATGTGGCAAGTGCTGATGTAGAATCTCAGTTTGGCTCTAAGCTTTACAACAGCTCACAATGTGGCTCAGAAATAGGTCTATAAATGAACAAGAATTACATTTACATGTTTGAAGGTAGGCAAATGTAGGCAAATGATAAACACAAAATTAGAATCATAATTTAGATAGCGATTTATTGAAACTTTAAGAAATCTCCCATTCTAATAGCATTCAGAGAATATTTTGATGGGATATATGATAATTTGTTTTATAATATTTCAGTTACATTAAGTACAGCTCTTTGCTCTTAGACTCTAGAGTGCAATTTGGCCTGTCATATTAAATTTGCACATATTTCTTTCCTTACTCTATTCAATTGTTCACTAATTTAATTTCTCCAGACCATCCAATGAATTAGAGTATGTACTCTTGTCATCCATCATCATTGATAATCAGATTAAATGCGAGTTAGTTTCGGTGCGCTGCCAGTTTAAGAAGCCAAAGCTAACTGCATTCTAAACACAATAAGCAAAGATATGAGTCAGTTGATGTTGAATATGTTGGCAATGTGGTGCAGACATTTCAACACTTCCATCAGCCACCTGTTTGTTAGCCCCACATATAATGCACTCAGTTGCGGGTCTTCATTCCCGCACATTTTGGCCATTGCGCTTGTTTATCTATGCCTTTCGCCCTTTCATTTTTAGGTCTTTTTGGTTGTTTTGAACTTTAAAGGCATACACGCTTGTTATTTATATAGTGCTTGAAAATAGCATAACATTTGCGGGCTTATATAATAGGAGTGCGAGCGCGAGTACGATTACAGCTGCCATGCCAACTGGGTTCGTCGTCGTCATCGTCGTAGTCCGTGTTGTTGTCGTATGCACATCACGCAAATCAAGTCACACAAAATTCGCAATACGCTTTCTTCTTGAACCTTTCAATGCGCGTATCACGCTGTTGTTGATGGTTGCTGCTGCTGCGCTGCTGCTGCTGCTGCTGCTACTGATTATTCAACAATTTTTATTGAAAGCTAAAGAGGCGTGCAAAACATCAACTACAACAACAACAACACAGCAAGAAAGCAATGAGCGAAATGTCAAATGCAGGCAGCAGGCAGAGAATACATAACAGCAAAGCGACATTAGTGACAACAACAACAACAACAACAGCAACAGCCTCATCAATATGAACAGAGATGCCAGGTTGCCATTCACTTGGCAGCCCAGCAAAAGTCTATAAGCGCTACACATTAATGTATATATGCTTATTTATATAGCATTCACTATAGTTCAATTCAATCGAACTGTAAAATTAGCATAACGACATTATAATAAACCAACGATAGCGACAGCAACTGAGCGATAAATGCAACATTTGACGTTTAGGGAAAGGTTTGCCAGGCGTCGAGGGCAAAAAGCATTTTCAAGCCAATTCTACACTACAAATCTGTTCGGCGGTTGTTCGTGCGTCTGCATGTGTGTGTGTGTGTGCATGTATATGTGTGCGCAGAGTTAACTGTATAAATACGACATTTGGTTGACTAAAGTTTTAGCCAGTGGAAGTCGGCTGGAATTGACTATACAATACTCTGTTTAAAGTACTTTGACTTTGGCTAGAAATACTTAGTCTTAGGAGTGCTGAATTAGAGTAGAATATGGGATCGGCTTGTTGTATCAATTTGTGGTAAATACATTGTCAAATTTTAATGGAATTCCAGAGATTAAATTGTAAGTTGAAATTCCAAAATATATGAGAAATGATGCTAATTCATTCATGTCCAAAGAAGCTTAACACAATTGTACACCTTTTTGATTTGATTTTATTTTATTATTATTTTTTTTTTTTTTTTTGTTAATAATATATTCATTTAATTATATATTATGAAAAAAAAATAATATACAATAATGCAATATAAATAATATATACTATGATATATATAATTTGATATGTTATATAGAAATAGAATTTAATAATCTATCAATTTAAATCAAAATTCATTAAAACTATAAATTCAAACCTCATTCACTCACATAAAAACCGAAGCAACTCATTTCCACAACATGAGTAGTGCATACGAATTCTGCATACGGCTGGCTGGCAGCCAAAAATTGTGTCAAAATGCATTGAACGCAGTTTCATTTGGTTGGGTTGATAACCTCAGCAATGACCAGCGAGTAGAGCCCCGTCCGCCCATTCATCCGTTTGGTCGCGCATGTCGCGTATTTGTCGATTCCGTTGACGAACTGGGTCAGTGTGCGGGCAACGGTGCGACAACCGTTAATAGAAAATGCATTAAAGCTAAATCGAATGAGATATATGACGGCGAGGCGTTTGTTCCAATTCTGAGAGCATGCCACACATTAGTCTTAAGTAATGGCCTCTCTGCCCATCACGTGGTGAATCAAAATTTATCAAAAACGTCACGTAATTACGAAGCAGCCGTCACCAATTGACAAACCCAACACACACTTGCAGATACAGATACAGATACAAAGATACACATGCTAGAACCAAGCTGTGACTTCTTTTCAAATTCCCAGCCAGCTGCCTGGCGAATTCACCAACAGATGCGTTTGATTTGTGTTGCTGTTCCATGCCTCATGTCCCGTGCCCCTTGTTGCCGCCTGCCACAGCGTCTTCC